AAGGGAGAAACAACAAATAACACACAAAGGGATTCCCATAAGGATAACAGCTGATCTATCAATAGAAACCCTTCAGGCCAGAAGGGAATGGCAGGACATACTTAAAGTAATGAAAGAGAATAACCTACAACCTAGATTACTCTACCCAGCAAGGATCTCATTCAAATATGAAGGAGAACTCAAAAGCTTTACAGACAAGCAAAAGCTGAGAGAATTCAGCACCACCAAACCAGCTCTCCAACAAATGGTAAAGGATTTTCTCTAGACAGGAAACACAGAAAGCATGTATAAACACGAACCCAAAACAACAAAGTAAGTGGCAATGGGATCATACTTATCAATAATTACCTTAAATGTAAATGGGTTGAACGCCCCAACCAAAACAAAAATACTGGCTGAATGGATACAAAAACAAGACCCCTGTATATGTTGTCTACAAGAGACCCACCTAGAAACAAAGGACACATACAGACTGAAAGTGAAGGGCTGGAAAAAGAAATCCCACGCATAAAGACCAAAAGAATGCAGGAGTAGCAATACTCATTTCAGATAAAATAGACTTTAAAACAAAGGCTGTGAAAAGAGACAGAGAAGGACACTGCATAATGATCAAGGGATCAATCCAAAAAGAAGAAATAACAATTATAAATAAATATGCACCTAACATAGGAGCACCACAATATGTAAGACAAATGCTAACAAGTATGAAAGGGGAAATTAATAGTAACACAATAATAGTAGGAGACTTTAATACCCCACTCACACCTATGGATAGATCAACTAAACAGAAAATGAACAAGGAAACACAAACTTTAAATGATACAATAGACCAGTTAGACCTAATTGATATCTATAGGACCTTTCACCCCCAAAACAATGAATTTCACCTTTTTCTCAAGCACACACGGAACCTTCTCCAGGATAGATCACACCCTGGGCCATAAATCTAACCTTGGTAAATTCAAAAAAATTGAAATCATTTCAGTCATCTTTTCTGACCACAATGCAGTAAGATTAGATCTCAATTACAGGGAAAAAAACTATTTAAAATTCCAACATATGGAGGCTGAACAACACGCTGCCGAATAACCAACACATCACAGACGAAATCAAAAAAGAAATCAAAATATGCATAGAAACCAAGGTAAATGAAAACACAACAACCCAAAACCTATGGGACACTGTAAAAGCAGTGCTAAGGGAACGGTTCACAGCAATACAGGCTTACCGCAAGAAACAAGAAACAAGAGTCTCTTCGCCGCCGCCGCGGCTCGCGGGCCCTGGGCTTCCTCTGAAGCATGACCCTCCTCGTCCACCGCCACTGGCGCTGCGCGGGCCACGGACGGCGCGCGCCGGGGCCCCGGGTGCACGGCCTCAGGGTCGCCTTCGCCTGCAGCTGGGGCGCCGAAGGAGCTCGGGCCGGCGGCAGGAGAACTGTGCGTGAACGCGGGGACTTGGCCATCGGTGCACCGGAACCCGGGGAGGAAGAGCCTGCTGCGCCCCATCCCCACCCCCTCCACCACCATTTCGGGGACCCCTCAGGGAGTGGTTTTGGGGTTCCCACTGACTTCTAAGAAGGACGCGTGCCCTTCTCCGACCCCAGCTCAGGCGGCCACCTGTCTTTGCCGCGGTGACCTTTCTCCCATGACCCTGCGGTGCCTCGAGCCCTCCGGGAATGGCGCGGAAGGGGCGCAGAGCCAGTGGGGGACCGCGGGGTCGGCGGAGGAGCCGTCCCCAGAGGCGGCGCGTCTGGCGAAGGCCCTGCGGGAGCTCAGTCACACAGGTAGGGAGCGGACCCGTCGCGATGCGTGCGAGAAGGGGGCGCCTCCCAGGAGACGCGGATGGGGCTGTGCTGGCGAGGCTGGGGAGCAACCGCTTCCCGTCCCCGCCGCGGGGCAGGCGGCTCGCGGGGAGGATGCCGCCCGGCTCTGGATCCTTGGGAATGCGAAAGGAAAGTGGTTTGTGAGGGACTCCAAGGCCCAGAGGAGGGCAGAGCTCAAGGAGGGCTCCTTGGAAATCGACTCTTAGGGCGCTGGCACTTTAGCTATTTTCCGCGGCTGCTTGAGGGTCGGCACTCTGGCTCGGACCCTCTGGAGATAGTGCCCGGCGCCTTTCCTGTCCGCGGGGTGCGAGGGCAGTGAGTGGGCGCTGCGCTGCCCGCAGCTTCAGCTGCATCCGGCTCCCGGGCCCGGCAGCCGCTACAGCCTGGAATCTTGGCAGCCAAGTTCAGGCACCGACAGATTGCCGCGCAGGCGACTGCCGCAGAGCCAGGACAGCGGACTGCGGGGCCCCAGCCGAGCCTGGCCTCGCTGGTGTCTAGGGGCAGCCTTGCGCTTTGCGCGGCTCTCTATCGTCTCTCGGCATCTGAAAGAAAACAAGATGGGGGCGGTGAGGAGGGGGGGCGGGTTCTGGCAAACCTTGTGCAAGCTTTCAAAATCGGGACTCTCAAAGCTTACGTTTGGGGCAGAGGTGAAGTTTTGGTAGAGGCAGGGGAGAGGGAATAGTTCTTCACTTGTGTTTCCGGTCTTTCCTTGCGGGCCAAGGGCTTTCCCTGCGCGCGAGGAGCCGGCAGATTGCAGGTCCCCGAACAGTTTTTTTGAGGTAGGGGGTGGGGAGCATTGTTCAAACGTTTAATATGCAAGATGTCGCTAAGCTGCTTTTGAAAACAGGATGGGAGATGAAACTGGCAGGTCGAATGGAGAATGCCTGGGAAACCGACGGTTGTGATTGGATTTGAATTAGGGCGAAGTCCAAGAGAGTTTATAGAAGATTGTAAACTTGAAGTACTAATTATCCATTGGGCTTTCTCTCATTTCTCAATGGCTGATAAGGTAGTTGCAATCAAAACAGCAGACAGAAGCTACGGTACTAGAACTGTTCTTTTAAAATAGCGGTGCTTTCCAGGGCTTTGAAAAGAGATATAGATTTGGGAAGGGTGGAGGTGGACACCAACCAGCCAAAAAGTTGTTGCTTTTAATTTTGTTGGTATTAACTGAAGTTGGGTTTTCCATTTTTTCTGGGGCATGGATTTTCTAATTTCTGACTTATTTAATGTACATTCAATCTTTGATTTCACTTGAAAAATATCATGCCTGCTCAGCCAGCGTGTCATATTACAACCATTCTTTTGTGTTAGAAAATCTTAAGAGTTCAAAGAACAGTTACAGAAAGTTACTTTTTAAAAAAGAAAGCTGGCTTGCAGTTTGTTCAGAAAATTAAATGGACCCACGTTTTCAGTAAATTTCTACAGAATGTATTTATGGTAGCCTATGGTAAACTTTCACACACTTCTATTTAAAAAATTCTCTATAATAACTATTTAACCCTCTTTTCTTTTTCTTTTTGAACAAAAACCCCAGGTTGGTACTGGGGAAGTATGACTGTTAATGAAGCCAAAGAGAAATTAAAAGAGGCACCGGAAGGAACTTTCTTGATTAGAGATAGTTCGCATTCAGACTACCTATTAACAATATCTGTTAAGACATCAGCTGGACCAACTAATCTTCGCATCGAATACCAAGATGGGAAATTTAGATTGGACTCTATCATATGTGTCAAGTCCAAGCTTAAACAATTTGACAGTGTGGTTCATCTGATCGACTACTATGTTCAGATGTGCAAGGATAAGCGGACAGGCCCAGAAGCCCCCCGGAATGGCACTGTTCACCTTTATCTGACCAAGCCACTCTACACGTCAGCACCACCTCTGCAGCATCTCTGTAGACTCACCATTAACAAGTGTACCAGCACCATCTGGGGACTGCCTTTACCAACAAGACTAAAAGATTATTTGGAAGAATATAAATTCCAGGTATAAGTGTTTCTTTGTTTTCTAAACATGCCTCCTATAGAATATCTCCGAATGCAGCTATATAAGAGAGAACCAAATCTTGAGTGACGGCTCTGGATAACTACGCGGAATTCTAAGACCAGCTGAAGTNCCTCTTACACTGTTGGTGGGAATGCAAACTAGTACAGCCACTATGGAGAACAGTGTGGAGATGCCTTTAAAAACTGGAAATAAAACTGCCATATGACCCAGCAATCCATCTGCTGGGCATGCACACCAAGGAAACCAGAAATGAAAGAGACACATGTACCCTAATGTTCATTGCAGCACTGTTTATAACAGCCAGGACATGGAAGCAACCTAGATGTTCATCAGCAGATGAATGGATAAGAAAGCTGTGGTATATATACACAATGGAATATTACTCAGCTATTAAAAAGAATGCATTTGAATCAGTTCTAATGAGGTGGATGAAACTGGAGCCTATTATACAGAGTGAAGTAAGCCAGAAAGAAAAACACCAATACAGTATACTAACGCATACATATGGAATTTAGAAAGATGGTAACAATAACCCTGTATGCGAGACAGCAAAAGAGACACAGATGCATAGAACAGTCTTTTGGACTCTGTGGGAGAGGGCGAGGGTGGGATGATTTGGGAGGATGGCATTGAAACATGTATATTATCATATGTGAAACAAATCACCAGTCCAGGTTCGATGCATGATATAGGGTGCTCAGGGCTGGTGCACTGGGATGACCCAGAGGAATGGGATGGGGAGGGATTTGGGAGGGGGATTCAGGATGGGGAACACATGTACACCCATGGTGGATTCATGTCAATGTATGGCAAAACCAATACAATATTGTAAAGTAATTAGCCTCCAATTAAAATAAGTTTATATTTAAAAAAAAAGAAACATGTATATTACCATATATAAAATAGATGACCAGTGCAAGTTCGATGCATCAAGCAGGGCACTCAAAACCAGTGCTCTAGACAACTGAGAGGGATGGAGTGGGAAAGGAGTTCAGATTTGTGGGGACACATGTACACCCAAGGCTGATTCATGTTGATGTATGGCAAAAATCACCACAATATTATAAAGTAACTATCCTTCAATTAAAATAAATAACTTTTTATAAAATAAATAAAAATAAAAACCATACACACACAAAAACCCACCTCAGGTCAAGGGTCATCTCTTCCAGGACTCCCCACTTTGAAGAGATCATTCTTTTGCATGATCTTGTGGCACTATGACATTACACATATGACATTACACACGCTGTGTGCGTGCATGCTAAGTCACTTCAGTCGTTTCCAACAGTATGTGATCCTATGTATTGCAGCCTGCCAGACTCCTCTGTCCATGGGATTCTACAGACAGGAATACTGGGGTGGGTTGCCATGCCCCCACCCTCCAGGGGATCTTCCCAACCCAGGGATTGAACCCAGGTCTCCCACATTACAGGCGGATTCTTTACCATCTGAGCCACCTGGGAAGCCCAAGAATACTGGAATGGGTAGTCTATCCCTTCTCCAGGGGATCTTCCTGACCCAGGAATCAAACCTGGTTCTCCTGCATTACAGGCAGATTCTTCACCAGCTGAGCTGCCAGGGAAGCCCCATTACATAACCTAGTGATTGGTTATTTACGTGTCTGTCTCTCCCTTTAGATTTCCAACTCTTAATGGCAGGGACTGTGACTGTCTGAATGCTCATGCTTAACACAAAGCTTCCTGCCACATAGATCTCCAACACACTTTTGTTGAAGCAATGAATCATCCTTGCTACTTCTCTCTCCTTCATGCCCTATGGCCTACCCTTCCTCAAGCCCTACCCACATCAAAATACTCCTCAAATGCATTGATTACTCTCCATCTTTACCACTCTGCTTCAAGCCACCATCCTCTATCAGGTGGACCTACATAACAACCTTCTAATTGTCTAAATTACTTTAATCCCGGCAATCTAGTTCCCATACAAGAGCCAGAGGGGTTTTTCTAAAATGGAGATCTCATCATGTTACTCACTAGCCAGAAAGTCTTTAGTGGTACCCATTAAAAGTAGCTCAATAAAAAAGCTTGAGGGATATTCAAAATCTTAATTTTAGTAAGAAAACTTCCTACAAACTTATACCCCAGGATGATTTAACCTCTAAAACACATAAGAACTACTATAGGGCTATAAGGTGCCTCCTTAACATTTAATAAAGAAAAATAGTTCTTCAGTATCTAGAGCTAACTCATTTTCTCTGCCTTCTGTGCTTAATAATGTCTCAAGCGTTTTGATTCAAATTTGATCAAATATTTGATGTAATGGAGAAATAAAGGATTAAAAGTCTTTTCATAATATTTGTACCCAGGAGCTCATGTGTCCCCATGGTGAGATTATGCTGTCAGGATATGACATAGAATGATTATGATGTCATAGCCCCCTAAAACAAGCTGAGCTACGTTAAACCCAGCAGTTTCCTTCGGAGAGGAAACACAGCAAGGTCCTGGACATGAATCTCTTCATTTATGTCCTCCTTTTATCAATTTGGACAAATAATTGTTTAAATAGGAATGAAAGCAATGGATCTGCTATTGCAGGTATGTCCCTAACCTTAAAAGCTAGAAATTATGATCTACTATTTTAAATATATTCAAGTACTTAATTAGACAAGCTAGCTGTGTTTAAGAAATCTGTTTATTCTATTTTACTATGAGTAGGTCTTTGAGAACTTCTAGGACAACATCTGAAAGTTTTACTTCTGTGTAAAAATTCTAAACATAGAAACATGAAGAGTACAGCCATACTGTCCCCTTTCATTCCCCTTCCCCACCCAATCCACCAACCTCTGCCCCTCCCCCACCAGCCATACCAGAAAATTCTATGTGAATGAATCTAGCATGGTACCTAACATATAGTAGGTTTCAAGAACTGTGTTTTCGTGTCCCATCTCATTTCCCACCATACACATTCACACACACATCAACACTCAAGTGCATTCACACATTCAAATACATAGGTAATGGGCTGAACAAGCCACAATGTAGGGTAACCTAGGTAATTATACTGATTACTGGCTAGAGACAGCTGATTACTGTCTCTGGCTAGAGACAGCTCCCATATTTGGCTTGTAGACTGTGGCTGGCTGGGGACATGATAGAGGGAGGAAAATGACAGTGGACACTTATCATGCTTAAAGAAATAACTGATGATGAGATTTGACTTTGATCTATAGTAACAAACCCCCATCAAAATGGAAGCAAACTTGGTTACCAAGCGCATGTTCTAATGATACATTTTCTTTCATAGTAACTACACAGGCTGAGTCCAAGCAGAGCAAACTGGAGGAATTGAGGCGACATATCCTCATTATTGTAGCTGGCATCCTCATCATCAGCTATATGGTCACATGTTCCTGCTTTCTTTACTATACCTGTGATGGTCAGGAAGCCCATAAAGCAGCCAAGTAAGTCTTAGACCTTTGAATAAAAGTACAAGGTTGGGGGGAGACGCACGTTCTTCACTATACCCTATAACTGTGAGAGCGAGGAAGTCCCCAAAGCAGCAGCATTAAGTTGCTTTTTGAACTTTTGAACTAACAATACACAGTGGTGGGGTGTAGGGGTGAGGTGAGGGGGTGGGTGCGCACATGCATGAGCGACTGTACCTGCACATGCATGCGTGCACACACGTAGGCGAGTTCACTGTTGTTTTGTTACTTAACACTAACTTTAGACTTCAGAAGAGCTACCAACATCTTTGGGTTGGATATGTTCACTTAAACGAAACTCTTAGATTATCTCAAGTACATTATCAACTTTAGCCAAAACTATCTCCTATTCAGGGTTCAGTTGAGCCCCAGGCTGCTAATTTCATTATAAGTTGAGTCTATGAAAAGAGGGAATGACTATCTCAATAAGACAGAATCAAAATCTTCTCAGGGGAGAAGGAGTTGGGTCTCTGCATTCCAAAGATAGTAACGCATTTTGGTTAATCAATCATTTTAAGATGTGATAACATGAAAAATTTGTAACTGTGTTCAGTGATCCTAGTCCCTGCCTTTAATATAGGAGGATTAGGCTAGCACTGATATACTGGGTCCCTAAAAATTTCCCAATCCAAGGACTGGTTACTGAAATATACCACTGTTCTATTCCTTTGGTTTTAGAGTAATCTTGTGAGGATTAATATGTATGGTTACAAAACTTGATGGTGTAAATATGATAGGAAAGCAATGAATTTGGTCTAAAGACTTGTTTATGTGAGAGGCTGTGACATTTGTGCCTCAGTTGCATATCAACTTGTGACTTTTTTATAAAAAGTTTAATTTCTGGAATAAAGAAATTCCCTCTCTCCCTCTCAACAGTAGATTTGAAACAAGTTTGTGTCATTGCATATATAGACTATATGGTTATCCATTGTGGTTGAAACAGCAAAATTAAGAAAAAGAAAAAGCATTCAACATGAGTTCAAATCTGTAACCTGAGTCATGGTTTTCTCCACACTCCAATTCTTACTGTGTTAAATTTTCCTGCTAGAGCCAAAAAAAGACCAGAAGTCTAAATTGACACAATAGCCCATATTTTCTGGTAACAGCAATTTTACTCTTCTGATTTAAATTGTTATATTCCAAATCCTCTGTATTTTCAGAGTCAATAAAGGCGATATCACCATCAAAGCATCCACATCATCAAAAATATCATTTACTGGCTCCAAGTCACCGACTGCTGGTCTGGGTGATCCAGAGAAACAATTTCTGATATCCAGTACAGATAAGTCATTTGGGCCCTCAAGTCCACAAAAAGCCTCTGTTCCTTCAAGTGCCAAAAAGTCAGTCAGGCGTTCGAGTCAACAAAACCCATCCAAGCCATCAAACCCCAAAAAAGTGTTAGGATCACCCCAGCAGGAAAAGTTGCATAGAACACGCAGTCCAAAACAGGCACATAGGTGGGCTCATGCCCATAAGCTAGTCGGTCAGGTCAGTCCATCCTATCCAAAGAAGGCCACCAAGCCAACTTGGTCATCAAGTCTACAGTGTCAGGTCAAGCCAACCAAAACTCCTCTACCCTATTCAAAGAATCAAAGCTTCCCTGAGCAATCCAGTGTAGAGAAACTGACCAAACGCCAGAGATATGTTAAACCAAAATGC